GTGGGAGGGGAGTGAAACCGGAGTGTGGGGCACAGGAATGGAGTCGGGAAGGGTGGAGAACCCTAGGGGGGAATGAACCCTAGCGTGCGTGGGTGGCTGTGCCCAAATAGCATGGGGTATCTGGGCCTTGAGCAAAGACGTGGGTGCCAACTGTGAACTTGGACTATAACTGCCCAGGCAGCCTGTCTTCCTTGCTGCGGTCAGTGTGGGGACCCCTGAAGGACAACGAGAGTACTATCAGTTTCTACACCCGCCAGATCCTGCAGGGGCTCAGCTACCTGCATGACAACCGTATTGTGCACCGGGACATCAAGGTGGGCCCTGTGGCTGGCTCACCTGGCCTGTGGGCCAGGGTGGGTGGGGGTGTGTGTGACAGAGACTGGCAGTTTAGATTCAGTGGGAAGACCCTTTGCAAAAAGTGAGGAAATCATCTGGGAATTTCTTTAAAGGAGAGAGGTTCAGATCTGAAACGAAACCAGGCACACCAGCTCCCAGAGGGCCTTATATGTGGGGTGGCAGGAGGAGCATGTCGATATAGGGTGAGCCAGGCTGGGATCCCCAGGAAATAGGATCCTAGGATGAGTGTCCAGTTCTGTGTCAGAGACCTAGCCCAGTGTCTACTAAGCACAATGTCCATGCCATTCAGGGGGACAATGTACTGATCAACACCTTCAGTGGGCTACTCAAGATTTCTGACTTTGGCACCTCCAAGCGACTAGCGGGCATCACACCCTGCACTGAGACGTTTACAGGTACCAGGGAGTGCTGAATGGGGAGCAGAACTCTTAGAGGCTTCTAGGGAACTGGGTTTTTCCTGGGCATGGAGTTAGAGTTCTAATAGGGGAATGAAACCTAGGGCAGGTAATTGGCCGTGGGTGGGGTGATAGAATCTAGAACTGGGGCTCAGATAACTGAAAAAGTTGAGTTCAGTATAATAAAATGAGCTCTACACATCAGTTGATGCAGGTTGAGGTGGGTGTTGGGGACAAAATGGATGGCAGAATTCAGGGGGGGTACCTGGGTGTGATAGTGAACACCTTCAATCTCAGCATTCAGGAGGCTGAGGCAGGAGGATCACCCATAGTTCGAGACCAGCCTGTGCTACATAGTGAGTTCAAGGCCAGCCTGAAATACATAGTGAGACCCTGCCTCACAAAAGTCCAACAATACTAATAATAATAATAATAATGATAATTCAGGGGGGTGGTTCAGTCCAGGATACATGATGGAACACTTCTGTGGTAATGGAGCACATGACTATGAACACTAGCATGAATGATGGAGGCCTTGGCAGGCAATGGAACATATGGTTGGTGATGAAACTCAGAACAGATGTTTGATGGCAAGGTAGGTGTTAGGAGCTGTTTGGGATAACAGGTTCAACACAGGTACAGGCAGCCAGAGGGTGATGGACCGCCCCCCTCGTGACACAGCTGAGGTGGACATTATTGCTCTTGCTTCCATTCTAGGGACCCTGCAGTATATGGCCCCAGAAATCATTGACCAGGGCCCACGAGGATATGGGAAGGCAGCTGACATCTGGTCCTTGGGCTGCACTGTAATTGAAATGGCCACGGGTCGCCCACCCTTCCATGAGCTAGGAAGCCCACAGGCCGCCATGTTTCAGGTGAAACACCCCTGGGGCCTGGCCCGTAGAGCTCGGGTGGGGCTTGACTGGACCTTGAACATCTCTAATCTTAGCTCTTGTTTGTCTTCCCTGGCCCCCTGCCAGGTGGGCATGTATAAGGTGCATCCGCCAGTGCCCCACTCTCTGTCAGCTGAGGCCCAAGCCTTCCTCCTCCGAACTTTTGAGCCAGACCCCCGCCTCCGAGCCAATGCCCAAGCCTTGCTGGAGGACGCCTTCCTGCAGCCTGGGAAGAGAAGCCGCAGCCCCAGCTCTCCTCGTCAAGCTCCTCAGTCCTCAGGTGCATGTGGGGAATAGCGGGAGAGAGGAAGAGGGAGAGAGGAGGCTGGAGAGCTGAGGAGCTGTGTGGGGGCCCTGACAGCTTCTTCCGCCCCCATCAGATGCCCCTTCAGCTGGTCCCACTCACCCAGCTGACACGACCACCCAGTCTCAGACATTCCCTCGGCCTCAGGCACCCTCTCAGCACCCACCCAGCCCTCCAAAGCGCTGCCTCAGTTATGGGGACACCAGCCTCCTCCGGTGAGAGCCTGGGGTCCCTTCATCTGGTTTTCCCTTTGTACCCCAGCCCCCACCCCAAAGCCCTTCTTGAGGACCTGGTCACACTGACCACTTGCAAGGTATCTGCTACCTACTGCCCTCTCTCAGATGCTTTAACTTGTATTTACTGTGCTCCCTTCCCCAGTGCTGAGTTTAATCCTATCCCCGCGAGGCAAAAATTAAAGTAACAGCTAGGATTTGAACCTTGTGCCAGAGATGGCTGGATGTGGTTGCCTGCCCTCACCAGACGCTTCGCATTGCACCTAGGGTGCCCGAGGAGCCTGGAGTCGAGGAGCCAGCGTCCCCGGAGGAGAGCTCGGGGCTGAGCCTGCTGCACCAGGAGAGCAAGCGCCGGGCCATGCTCGCCGAGGTGCTGCAGCAGGAGCTGCCCACACTGGCGGAGAATCTGTGCCTGGAGCAGGAGCAGGTGAGCGGCCTGTCCGAGCGCCCCCTGGTGGTCGAGCGCAGACAGGACTGCTGATGGCTTCTCCCCATCCACCAGAATCTCTCCTACTCTGGTGGGGATACTAGCTGACGGTCCCTCTCCCCTTCTCAGAGTTCCGGTCTACGAAAGACTCATGTGGAACAGCTGCTGCATTGCCTCGGTGCGCACATCCACACCCCCAACCGCCGGCAGCTGGCCCAGGAACTGCGGGTGCTGCAAGCGCAGCTGCGGGCCCAGGGCCTTGGGCCTACACTTCTGAGTGGACCGCTGTTTGCCTTCCCAGATGCGGTGAGGAAGTTTCCTTTAAGTTAGGGCCGCTCAGTAACAGGTAGTGAGCTACCTGTGATTGGAAATTGGCCAAGACTTGATGCCCTGGAATTCCGTGTGAAGACAGGGTGTCTGCCCCAGTCCCAGCTCTTCCCTGGACCCCGAGCCGGCCCACTGCCCTTTCCTCCAGTGGAGACTCTTAAGGCCTTTTTCCCCCACTCGAGCCCCACCTGGGCTGTCAGCCCCCTTATTGCATCCTCCCTCTCCCTCCAGGTGAAGCAGATCCTCCGCCAGCGCCAGATCCGCCCACACTGGATGTTCGTGCTGGACTCGCTGCTCAGCCGCGCCGTCCGGGCAGCCCTGGCTGTGCTAGACCCAGGTGGGATGAGCGGCACCCAGCAGCTGGCCAGTGAGGGTGCTGCTGGGTGTGGCGAGGGGTGGCAGCGAACACTACCTGTGGCCAGTGCGGGCCAGGCCGGAAGGAGCCGGTGTGAGGAGGCATCTCCAGCACTGGCCCTGTCTGGTCCCTCCCAGAGCCTCCCCAACCTCCCGGGTGACAGTATCTGGGGGTCCCAGACCGGTGTCCTCGCCCTGCCTGAGCTCACCCTACTTGGATTGATAGAGGTGGAGAAGAAGATGGTCTCACCGAGGTCAGAGGAGCTGAGCAAAGTCTGGGAGTCCCAGAAGCAGCAGCGGGAGACCTCACTCCTGGCAGAACCCAAGCAGAGCCCCCTGCCTCTGACAGTGCATCTGGGCCTCTTGCGGGCTGAGACTGACCGGTAAAGCTCAGCACAGTCACCTACAGAACCTGCACAGCCCTCAAGCCACTCATTCCATTCTTCTGTGTTCCAACAGGCTCAGGGAAGTCCTGGCGGAGAAGGAACGGGAGTGCCAGGTCTTGGTGCACCAGGCACTGCGGCGGCTGAATGCGGAGGCCCGGACCTATGCCCTGGCCTCAGAGCCTCTGGGTGAGCCAACCTGGCTGGAGGAGCTGGCATGGGTGTGAGGCGGCCTCCAGCACAGGCACTGCCAGGCTCATCCCTTGACTTCTTGACAGCATGTCTTCCAAAGGACCAGAGCTTGGTGCAGTGGCTACAGGACCTAAGTGTAGATTCAGGCACCATCCAAACGGTGAGGGGGGAGCTGCTGGCTATCTCTGACCCATACCAACCCAAGACTCCATCTCTGTCCATCTTTTAGCTGCTCTTACATTTTCCTCTGCTTGCAGAGGCTCTCGATACTGGAAGAGCCCTTAATGTATCCCTACCCTGGTACAGATGGGAAAACTGAAGCCTTCGCGTTGTGATAGTAGAACAGAACTAGTACCTGGATCTCTGGACACATCTGTGTGTAATTTTCTATTTCTGTGCGTCTTTGTCCATAATCAGCTGCTGAACCACAGCTTCACCCTGCAAGCCCTGCTCAACTGTGCCTCTCGAGATGATCTCCTTTACACCCAAATCAGGTACAACCGGGCCCTCCAGGGATGAACCATGCACACAGCCGGATGCTGGCCAGATCCTGTCCCTGGCTACAGGCCTGCCTGTTTCTCCCTGGAAACTACAGGGCCACCAGTGTCCCCTGGGGAGATGTGGCATTGGGCAGACAGTGGGTCCCAGAGAGGGCTGAGGCTTTCTTCTGGCTGAGCCACATTAAGCCCCTTGCCTCAGGGGAGGGATGGTGTGCCGCATCTGGAGAGCCATTTTGGCACAGCGAGCAGGATCCGTATCAGGAATCCCTGGACCCCAAGAGGCTGAATGAGGGCAGCAGAGGCGGGACAGACCCACAGATGGATGGATAAACTGAGAAGACATGAAGCAGCTTCTGACGCACCTGTCCTGCAGGAGGCTGGGAGGGTGGGGCCGGAGTAGGGCCCAGGCCCCAGTGTGGAGAACCAACTACAGAGGCACCCAAGAGCACTAAATACGACCAAAGACTATTAAACAGTACCCTTGTCTCCGCCCCTTCGGAGGGGCCCGGCCCCTTGAGGTCTTTGCATCTGTGCCTGCGCTTCCTTAATCTGGTCCCTTTCCCTCTCACTCTTGTACCTCCCTATGTCACGTTTTCAGCAGACAGCAGCCCTTGATGACCTCAGAAGAAACTTTATTGACGTTAGCCAAGGGCAGTCTCAGGGTTGGGGGTCCTGAGAGAAGGGCTGCGTAGGGCTAAGCCCTGGGGACCAGGTTGGTTCTGAGAGGTAGAAGGCCGTCCACCCACTCACATGGCCGCTCCAGGAGTGTCTGCCAGAGCTGCTTCTCCTCAGGTGTGGAGTCCATCCAAGGCACCTGCAGCCCGTAGCTGCTGCCTGGATGTGGGTGGGCACAGGCGGAGGGCATGGTCACCCTGGACACATTAGGTCCCAAGAGACACCTGTCTGGTCCCAGATTATGCAGTACCCAGTCACTCCCAGAGCTTGACAGAAAGAGCCCAGGAAAGGGCAGAGAGGTACCCAAGGCCACACACTGAGCCTCTGCCTCCGGCTCAACCCCCTTCAGGGCCCTGCTCTGCTTACCAGTACCCAGGCTGAGGCGTGTGCCTCCCAGCTGGCGGCTGGCCAGGGCCCCATGGTCCCAGAGGGAGAGCTCAGCACAGGCCTGGCGCAGATCAGCAGGTCCAAAGCCATCATAAACCATGGTGTGGTTGAACACCGGGCTGAGGCTGTGTCGTACCACCCTTGTGCGCTGGCGGCCAGCTCGGCTGTCATCAGGCAACACTGAGCTGTGGGAAAGGTGGGCTGGCATCAGGTGACCACCCCCCAGCCCCGAGAGCCAGCAGCCTAACCTTTCTCCCTCACTTAGGTCCATGTCCCCTGGTTCGGGCCTGAGACCTGGCCTCTAGTCTCACTGCCCTGGGACTTCCGCATGGTCTCCTCTGAATCTTCAGCCTTTAAATTTTTAACTCCCATTCCTAGTACTGAGCCTAGAGCGATGTTTCTGAAATGCAATTTTCTGCTAGTCCCTGGTTCAGTGACCTTCACTGATTCCCTGTTGGTTCTACACCCCAATTAGTTTCCAGAGTTTTCAAAGTCTTTCTGCAAAATAAAATATTGTCCAGAAGTACAATAACTGAAAGAAAAACAGTGGAAGCCTGGAATCTGATGAGCCTGCCTCCATTTCACTCTGAGAGGCAGCCCCTGCAAGAACTCCTTTTTTGTGGTACTGGGAATTGAACCTAGAGCCTCTGAACTGAGATACACCCCTACCCCTTTTGATCTACTCGTGTATTTTTGAGACAGTATCTTGCTAAGTTCCCCGGGCAGGAATCACACTTGTGATCTTCCTGCTCCAGCCTCCAAAGTACTGGGATTACAGGTGTGACCTTCACACCCAGCTCTGGAGGCACCAGAGCTCTAAAGGTCCCTCCATGCTTACACTGAAAACCACCGGGGCTGGAGGTGTAGCTCAGGGACAGAACATTGGCCTCGGTAAACATCAGGACCTGGGTTTGATTCCCAGCATCACAGGAAAAAAACAACTCCCTCTCTGAACTGCAAGTTCGGGTCCAGCCCCCTGAACCTGGCCTTCCAGCTTCTCCATGGAGGGACCCTGTGCTCTCAGTCTCAGCTCTCCAGTAAGTTCCGCAGTCACCGCCAGTCTCCCTGAAATGCAACCCCTCAGAGGTGTCCTCCACTTTTCTTGCGCGAGGCTGGGCTGGTGACAGCAAAGGGTAGAGGATGCTCCAGGGCGAGCGGGGCAGGCAAAGGAAGGGAAAGCAGGCAGTGCTGGCGCTCTCACCATTGCACAAAAGTGTCCAGGGATCCTGAGCGCAGGGGCACGAGGTTCTGAGCTTCCTTCACCCAGAAGTGCAGCTCCCCACTTACAGGCTGTCCCCCACCTGCAGAGAGTCGGCTTAGGTCTGCCCTGGGCCCAGTCCACCTGCTGTCACCTAGTCCCATCCAGCTTGGCTTCTCACAGTGGGTCACTCACCCTCTGAGCCAGCAGGGATGTACTTGAGGGACAGAGAGAGGAAACCTCGGCTGGGCAGCTCCTCAGGAGAGGGTGGAGTCTGCGAGAGCCAGGGGAGGGCTGGTCAGGGGGCAGGGACCCCAAGGCCTCCAGACACAATGAAGTATGGTCACCCCCCTGCCCCTGGGCCAGCCTTGCTCTAAGGATGAAAAGCAGAGGAAGCTCTGCCCGAAGCCAGGCCTGGCTGGGAGAGAGGGCTTGAGGGTAGAGGGAGCTCTATGGGGAAACCCCGTGCAGGCCTCACTGCCCTACCCGGGGCTGCAGGGGGAGCCAGGTGGGCCCGGAGTCCCAGTTCCACGTGTCCAGGGGCACTTCAACTTCTCCCAGAAAGATGTTTCGGCCCAGGCTTTCTCGGTGCCACACAGATAAGCTCAGCACTCGGCCTGAGAGCTCATCCTGAGGGACAGAGTACTGGGGACAGGAGGTGGCTTTAGTGCAGCACCGCTGGTGGTCCTGCCAGGCACCAGCAAGATGCATGCAGGGGAGCCCCAGGGACTGCTGTAGACCGCATCATCAGGGCCTCCTCCGAATGGAAGGCTGGAGCAGCAGCCCAGGTGGAAACTGGCAACCCCAGCCATTTCACCCCTCAGGAAGAGAAGCCCGGTTCATTAACGTCTGCAGCCTCACCCGGAGAATCTCGTTGAAGATTGGATTCAGATTCCGTTTCTTCACAGCTGTCTTACGCTTACTCTGCTTATCCGGGTGGAGGTAGCTTTTAACGTAGCTAAGGCAAGGAAAAGGGAGGGCCCGAGGTAAGAACAGGGACCCTTCTCCCCCGCCTGGGGACCTCCCCAGCCACCACCAACAACACTGTCCTACATGCAAGGCCTCCTGCTAATTTACAGAAATTACCTCCTGAATCCCCATGTCGTTACCCCTTCCCTTTTGGGGGGCAGGGTCTCAATAAGTACTTAGGGCTGGACTTGAACTCATTAAGTATCCCAGGCTGGCTTTGAACTAACTGGTGGAGATCCTCCTGTCTCAGCCTCCTGAGCCCGGGGATTACAGGCGTGTGCCACCACGCCAGGCGACGTTCTCAGTTTGAAGATAAGGAAACAGGCCAAGAAAAGTTGAAGTTGAGCTGGGCTGTGAGAATGACTCCGTACCCCCAGCCTCTCCCTAGTGGGGACCCCCTACCTCCCCGCACACTGCACTCACGGGTCTGAGCGGCGTCGCCGGGCGGCGGCCAGGCCCTGGCACTGGATCACGTGCACACGGAGCTCTCGGGGCCCGGGATCGTAGTGCAACGCGAAGTTCAAGGAGCCGCACACCTGCATGGTGCCCGCCTCCACCTCCCCAGACAGGCTCATCAGGCTGCCGCTAAGCTGCAGGCGGGGGTGGAGAGGTCAGGGCCCGGGGGTGGGGGGCTCACCCTGGGGCGCGGAGGGGCAGGGCGGGAGAGATAGAAGGGGGAGGCGGCCCCCAGGTCTCCTCACCGTGGAGGAGCTGAGGCTGGACACCGAGGAGCTGCTGCTGAGCACGCGGTCAAGGGAGCAGCCGGGCCCCGGCGCTTCCTCCCCGTTCTCCAGGGTCTTGGACGCCATTTGGACCTGAAGGGCGGGAAAGTGACCGGGCGCCCGCTAGTTCGGGAGATCTCCCTGGTTCTCAGCCCGGGGCCGGGGCGCTCCCGCCCAGAATCCGTTCCGGGACTTGCGAGGAGCGGAGGGCCGCTCCCGCCTACCTGGGCCTTCGGGGGCCGTGGTTCTTTCCTCGCCTCCGGCTCGGGCTCCGGCTCGGGCTCCGGCTCAGGCTCCGGCTCGGGCTCGGAAACCGGTACAGGTTCGGGCACCGCGTCCACCTGCTCGCCCCCTGGGCCAGGGGCTGGGGCAGGGTACAAGCTGCTGAGCGGGCTCCTCTCCTGCCCGCCCCTGAGCAAATTTGGGGGACTGATTCACAGCCCTGATGACCTGCAGACTGAGACCCCAGTGCTGCCCTGGGGTCACCAGGCGGCCACACAGTCACCGACGCGGGAGGAGGAAAGCGGACGTGGTGACTGGGATCACTGAGGGCTTCCTTGGGTCCCCACAACTTCTCTGGCTCCTAACACAAACTCCCACTCACCTTCCTGGATCTGGGGCTCCTCATGATCTGAGACCTTTAGAGGGGCATATGGTGAGGGGAATTCATGTCCCTAAAGAAATCAAGGGGTAGAGGTCACAGTGGGGGCCAAAGGTCATAGTGGGGTCAGGGGCCAGAGACGCCAGCCTGGCTGGGTTCCAGCCCAGCGCTCAGACAGAGCAGGTCTGGCAGCAAGTGGCAGGACCAGTCTGGCCTGTACCTCACACCCTCACATCCCCCAGGCCGGCCCCTGGTGGGCCTGCCCGGCGCCTGGGCTCCCGGGTGGAGCGGTCCTATCTTCAGTTCTGGCCTCACCCTCTCAGTCCCACCCATCGCCGCTGGCTGCTGCTTTCAGAGGCGAGTACTCAACCAGCACCTGACCAGATGGGTGCTGAAGCCCAGGTCTCCAGATTCCGGTGGAGGCGCTGCTTTCCCACCCTGGGTGCATTAAGAACAGATGCTACACTTAGTGATAGCCAAAAGGCCGAGAAGCCATGTGCTGCCAATTATCAGCCCACTCAGTCGATACTCACAAGAGTCTGGCCATGCCTCTCTTGAGGGGCCTCCGCCTCTGTGGGGAGCCTAGGACAAGGCACAGCTGGTTTTCAGAGGAAGGGATTGGGTAAGGGCAGTCACCTCCCCTCTCCCTGTGACGCCTCCTCACCTGGGCCCTGTCTCCTCTTCAGTCTTTTTCTCAGCAGCCTCAGCCTCCCGGTCGCTGCCCAGAGCCTGGTCTCCTGGGCCCAGGTAAGAAGTTCTGTGAGTGCCCATCTCAGGAAGGCTAACTGTGACCCACAGGAGAGGCCCCTGGTGATGACGCTAACCCCACCCGAAGCCATAGTATGGGGGCAGCCAGGACTGCAGCCCAGGGGCCCTCTCCCTAGGCACCCCACCCAGCCATTACCCTGTCAGGTCTCCTCTCACCCCTGTAGCTCTTCTTCCTGCGGATAGAGGCTCGGACAAGGTCAGAACCGAAGTGGCTGTGCTGGTGCCGTTGGGCGCGTGCTTCCTGGAACCAGTCTCCTGTCAGGATCTTCAGCTGCCCGGGATCCGCCAGTGAGGCCCGGAGCTTGCTGGAGGATAGGGGAGGGCAATGGCCATCTCTCCTCACCTAACCAATATACCTGCCACCCACCGGGTCCGGCTCTCAATAGCAAATCAGATGTGACCCCTGCTGTGGGGAAACCAAATCCAGAATAGTGAAGTATGCTATGTAAGTGCAGTGATGAATCTAAGAAGGGCCAGCTCTGCGGGAGTACAGGAGGTCTTCCCAGAGGAGGTGACACTTACATTTTCTTTGTCTTTTTCTTTTTGCATGCTGGAGATTGAGCCCAGACTCTTGTGCATACTAAGCAAGTGCTGTACCACTAAACTATATCTTCGGCCTTGAATCGCTCTTAAAGGACAAACTGGAGTGCTCCAGAAAGAAAAGGATAATTATCCATTAAATGATTACTGTGGGCCATACTTACATAATTTCTCTTAATTCTGAGATAGTAGACCTTGCAGCTCCATTTTATAGATGAGAATAGTGCTTGGGGCCATGCAAGGTGCCAAAAGGTACCTAACTAGAAGTGTCTGTCTGTCCTCCAGCTGTTTGTCATCATGCCCCTCTACTGCTGTGTTCTTCCAGGAAGAAGACACAAACAGCCTTACCTTTGAAGTGAGGGTGTGTTCAGGGGTGCAGAGCACCCACGTGGCTGTAGGGGCTATTGTTTGTTGTCAGGTTGGGGCTGAGGGGCAGGACGGAGTGGGGGAGGCCCTTGGTGCTGCCCACAGTGGTGAAGGGAGAGGCAGGCCGAAGTGCTGCCTAAGAGGGAGGCTGTGGAGGGAGGGAGCTGGTACAGCCACCCAGGAGAAGGGATGAGCGCTGAGCTGGCCCAGGGCAGAGGGGACCAGAGGACTCTGAAAGGCAGGTGTTGGTAGCCTGCACAAACCTTCCGAGGGCCCAAGACCCCTTCCTCCTGGCCAGCAGCCACCCTGCCTCACCTGACCCGCCCCTCATCCAGCTGGCGCAGGCGGGCATCTCGTCTGAGGACATCGGCAATGGCCTCCTGCTCCTCCTCTGTCAGGAAGCTGAGGTCCAACAGTCCCTCAGCATCAGGCTCTGGGCCATGCGCCATGGGGCGGGAGGACGGGGCCCAAAGCCTCTCCTGAGATGGGTGGTTCCTTTGGGGCATCAGCTGGAGCCGTGCCCCAGCTGGGCATACGTGGCTTCCTGGGTGCAAACCAGTGGTCAGGTTAGTCCCCTCTCAAACACAGCACATCTGCCCTTCTCTCCCCAACTGTGTACACTGGAAGGCCGAGGTCAAGGTCACAGCCCACATGCACACTCAGGGACACATTCACAGCGTATGGAGACACGCACACACCCTGCAGCAGGGACATAGGAAGAACCACAGAGAAGGCACACCCAGACACATGTGCACTCATGGACCGGGGTAGGCGAGCGTGAATGCCCGGTCACAGGTGCACACTGACAATCTGTGAAGACAGGCACAAGTGCACCCATCCCCCAAGGAGACCTGTGCAGACCTGGGCACAGACCGCCCCAGAGCTGTGCACACACATCCTTAAACTGCACAGAGCTGGTACACACAAAGGAAGAGAGGGACCCGCCCAAGGGGTTCATCTGCATGAGAAGTGTGGGGACAAGAGCATGTCTCTGGCTAAACCCAAATCCCACTTTTGCCTACACATATTGCCAGTCTAACTGGTTTCTTTGAGGTCCTTGAAGCTGGGACAGATCATCCCCCTCAAAGCCAGGGCTTTGCACACAGCAGGTAACTGGTATTTGGTTGATTAAAGGCAAAAATATACTTGCACACACCCACATGCACACACAAACACATACATTTGCTCATCCCCCTGCCCAGGGAGCCTCCCCACCCGGGTCTGCTCCCCTAGTCTTCACCACCATCCTGCCCCGGCCCATTTGGCCTTCCTGTGTGAGGCAACCTCCTCCTCGGCCCATACCCCTAACTTCCTCCCCTCAAGTAACTGCAGCACCCACTCCCACTGAGGCTGCCAACCTGGGGATGCACCCACCACCAGCCCTGCCTTTCTGCCCGGACCCTGGGTCCCCCTGCTGTGGCTGCCTGGCTCCCTCACCCCCTACATCAAGCCCTCCTAACAACTGCAGACGGTAAAGCAGCTCACGCCCAGGCACCACCATGACTTGGAAGGAAAACACCTGAAAGCATGTGAATGTGGCAGAGGGCACTGCACTAGATTGTGGTTTCAGCCTGAGCTCACTGGGCAGTCTGTCCTCCCCTCCCACCCCTTCTATGCCAGGGATCCAAGGAGGGAGAGATGGGAAGAGGACAGCTCAGTGGCAGGTCCTGGCTTGTGCCTGCTGCCTCCAGTGCCCTGTCCCCTCCTAGATGAGTCACAGCTGAGCAAGCCTGTCGCCCTGCTGCCTGCCCTGAGGAGCCTGGGGTTTCTGCAAGTCTGTGTCTACGGAACCCTTTGTGCTTCTAGATGACAACTTTCTCAACTGCTGTGTCCCCAGGGTGCTGGCTGTCACACAAACAGTGTTGGGCTCTTCTGGGACATTTCTGTCGTACACCTTGTGTCCCATGTGCGGCGCCTGGTATGACTGGCAGGTCTGCATGCAGAGCGATTCAGGAGCCCATGTAGTGTTTGTGTGTCTCTGTGTGGTGTTGCTGTGTGTCGCTCTCTGGTTGATTAGACTGTCCTGGTGTTCAGTGGCTCTGGGTGACTGTGCCAGGCGGGTGTGTACACTGTGCACATTTCCTTTTCTGCTGTCTGCAACACTAAGCTGTGTTGTGATGTGTGACGGGCTTTCTGAGGGCCACTACCAGTGTGTGTGTGCGTGCGCTATGGTGGGGAGACACTTGGCAGAACTGAGCCTGCCCTTGTCCTGAGATCTGCTTAGGCTGGGCCACTGGCATTCAAACTCAGTGTCCCCCTTCCTGAAGTCCCGTTCTTCCAGAGGCTGATCAAGCACTTCGTCCTCTGGACTGTTTCAACACTTTGGACAGACCCAATGGTACCAGAGGGTCTGACTATTTGCCCCACCAGTCCAGTCCCAGACATGTTCCTACCTCCCCCACCCCAGGATGCCAGAGGGTACCAGGGATACGTGTTACCTGTAGGGGTCCGGTATAGAAGGCCGCCTTCTTAGATGGCTCTGGCACCCCAGTGGGTGAGTCTTAGGGACCAGGGGAAGAGCTGTGAAGGCCTAAGGCTGAGTGGCCCAGCAGAGCAGCTGCCCCAGCAGCCAGGAGGCGAAGGAGGAGTGGGAGGAGGAGGAAACACCTCAGCAGGGCCTGGTGCAAAACCGGGCCTGGATTGCCGGCTCCTTGGGGTGCACCCTGCAGCTGCTCTCCGGGAAGCCAGGGCCAGCTTGGTGGGTTTGTGGGGCTTAGGGTGTGGCCCCAGCTCCCGCTGTAGCCCCGCCCTGTAGTTCCCGTAATTCCGGCAGGTCCAAAGCCTTGGCAGGTCCAAAGCCTTGGCCGGCCTGTGCAAAAAATGGGTCGCTGCCTCTTAGCAGCCCCGCCCCGCCCACGGAGAAGCTGATAGGAAACTATTTTGAAAGCAAAGTTAAGACACTTTTCTTTCTAAGAACTAAATGGAAGGATTGCAGATTTTGCAGCTAGACAACCCTGAGCAGAGTCCCTGCTCTGCCTCTGTGACCCTCAAGAGGTTCCTTAACCTGTTTGAGCTGTGGTTTCCTCCTATGCAAACTGTAGGTAGCAGAGTATAGGAGCCTATTTTACAGGAAATAAAGTACTGGTACAAGCTGGCATGAAGTAGGTGCCAGGTGTCCCTTTTCTAACACAGTCCAGCACTCACGTTCATTTCAGCACCCCAAATTGCCTCTCCATGTCCACCTCTGAGGAAGTGCTGGCCACAGCTCTCTCTTCTCGCCACCACCCTAGGTCCCACCTTCTTTAGAAGGCCTGGACTCTCCCAGTGCCAGGGTGAGGGTCCTCTGTCTATTGGGAATCCCTCTGAACACCTCATTTGGCACCCAGACTCTGTTCACCGTAGGAGCAGAGCTTTGCGTCCTGCAGTAGACTGGCTTTGGGACCATGAACCTCGGGCTGTCTCCATTCTGGTCTTGGGCACAGGGGGTCACTCAAAAGCTTTCTCACTCCCCTTTCACTCCATTCCAGGCTGCCTACCCTGCCTCCACCCTCCTGCGCCTGGGGCCATGGGTGAGAAGACATTTCCCAGACCTGGAAGGGAAGGCGGACACTGGGTGGATTCTGAAGGGAGCCTCACGCCTCCCCTCATCAGAAACAGCTCCCATTAGAAGGTCCCCACTGCTCTGAAAAACCGAAGGTGATGTTCCATCCCACCCAAGGTCCAGACTGCCCTACTCAATCTAATTTTTCCTCATGTTAAATGGGGGTAATAATTCCTATTCAGAGGACTTCCACTACAATCCAACCCCTGCAGTAACCCTCCCCACCTTTATTTTACAGTACTGGGGATTGACTTCAAGGATTACGCATGCTAGGCAAGTGCTGTATCACTGAGCTACATCTGGGGGCCATTCAGAGATGAGATCTTGCCCAGGCTCACTTTTTTTTTTTTTTGGTACAGGGGATTGAACTTGGGTCCTTGCACTTGTGAAGCAGGTAGAGGAACCACTGAGCTAAATCCCTGGCCCCCCAGGCTCACTTTTTTTGGTGGGAGGGCTTTTTGAGACAGGGTTTCACTACGTAGTTGAGACTGACCTTGAACTATGTAGCCCAGGCTGGTCTCCAACTCGCAGCAATCCTCCTGCCTCAGCCTCCCAAGTGCTGGAATTACAGGCATGCATCACTATGCCCGGCCTCCCCAGGCTCACTTTTAACGTGTTCCTCCTGCCTCAGCCTCCCAAGTAGCGATCACATGTCCAGCTCCCTGCAGACTCAATGTGTGTGTGTGTGTGTTTACATATATAATATCTAGTGAGTGTCCACCATGTAGAGGAGATGCCCACCTTCTCTATCAGGGTTCCCAGAGCTTGGAAGCCTGGGAGCTTGGAAGGGCAGATGTGCAGGGATGAACAATTCCCATCCTGAGATGCTGAAGTCCTGTAAGCTTCTTGCATTGAACAAACTCAGTCAAGGAGCTGGTCAGCAATAAGACCTCTAGTCAGCACTAGAGGTGCCCAAGGACACCAAGAGGGAAGGAGCTGGAGGGGTGATCAAGCCTCAGAGAAGGAGAAAAAGTTACACCACCTGGACTCAAAGCTCTTTATTGTCCTGCCAGGTAGCCCCTCACAAAGGAGCCTATGGGCAGGGGTGAGATGGGCAGCACGGGGCTCTTCTGACAGCTCCTGGGGAGTGGCAGTCTGGTGGGAGGAACAGCCCCTCCCTCAGGCTCTCTGATGGCACTGGCTGCTCTGAACAGGCCACTGACACTTAAGACCCAAGGGTGGGTGCAGCAGCGCAGCCTCTTTGCCAGCGGGGGCCAAGTGGGTCCACAGTGCCTGCTTTGAGCGTCAGCTCTCCTGGCCTTGCCAGCCCAGCCCCAAACTGCAGAGGAAGATGAGCCAGGTGCTGGGAGCCCTAGAGGGAAGAGGGTCCTGCAGCGCTGGAGGACGCCAGGAGTGGGGCACATACTACCCGGGAGCAGATATCCAAAGGAGGGGCCCGTCCAGCCCCTCATGTTTGGGAGGCACCAGGCAGCTCAGCTCACGGAGACTCCAGTGTCCCTGCCCCACCGTGAGACCAGAGACAACAAGCGGAGAGCAGGCTCCACTCCCAATCTTGTCACAGGGTGGCCTTGCGGGTGGGTCCTTGTGTGCACTGGGCACTGGCAGTGTCAGGAGGAGCTCCGTGGAGGGAGGTGAAGCTGTCCCAACAGCTGGCAAGGAGTGGGGTCACAAGCCCAGGGGGAGGGACAGGGAGACCAACAAGCACACAGTCCTGCCCCGTGCTCATCCTCAGCACTTCCATCCCCCAGCCCAGGCCCCAGGTCCTACATAGTAGGGCCAGTCTGTCTTGGGAGTGAAGAGGAAAAGTCTGGGGCCAAAGGGTGGCGGCTGTCTCCTCAGGAGCCTCGTGGGCTTGGGGCTGCCCGGCAGCCATCATCGCAGGTTGAAGACCAGGCTGACAGTCAGGATGATGCCCAGGAGGAGGACGAAGGGCAGCCAGGTCTTCACAAAGGCCCCGATGCTGACAGAGGAAGAGCAGCAGGGTGAGTAGGTGTGGAGCCCTGAGCCCCATCCACTCACAACCCCGACAAGGCTGCCGGCCCCAAGGAAGCACCCAGAATCACTTCCTCAGCCCCAAACTTGGTCAACATGGACAGGGTCCAGCCTGGTGCCCACGGTGGAGGACCCCCAGCTCCTGGTGAAGTCTAGATCCCTGCCAGGGATCGATGTGTACTCAATCTCCCTGGGTCTTACTGGCTTACACATAGCCACTAGGGGAGGATCAGGAACTTCCACTTGGGTGTGGAAGCCATGCGTGCCCTTGGCCCAGTACCAGGTCTCAGAGGGAGGAGCTGGGGTCCGCTCAGTGCTGCGGCTGGAGCGAAGGGGCTGGCAGTCAAGGGCCTTCATTCAACTCTGCCTCTGCCTCAGTCTCCCTGTGACCACAGTTATGTTCTTCTCAGGGGATCTCTAAAAGCCTTTCAGGATGGAGAAAAAGACTCCCAAGAGTCCTTTTCAGTAGTTTTTAAGGACGAGCACATCTAAGAGGAAAGCTTGGCAGGAAGGCAGATTAGAACAACTCTGTGCAGCTCCCAAGTCTGGGCTCTGCTATGGCCATGCTGTGGGGCCCTGGGAAACTCACTCAACTTCTCTGAGCTCTCTGCTAGGAGTTGGATGATGTCTTGGACCTCACAGGTCATGAGCTGTGACTTCAAAGGTCCACCTGGGCCACCGCTGGGCCCACGCCCCCAGATCCCCGCCTCTGACAAGGGACGTCTGGGAAGGGACTCTGTAGGCACGGTCACACACCATCCCATGCACTCTGTGTTCACACTGCCTGAGCAGTGGGCTCTGTGGGCTTGTGACCTCACCAAGGAGCAAGAATTCCCACCCCCGTCTCACCAAGGACAGTGGCGACGGAGGCCACAGCAGTTTCCCAAGGCCATCAAGGTGAGCAGGTGACGAGCTGGACTTCGGCACAGACACCTCCCTCTCCCCCAGGAACTCAGCTTGTCATTCTCGAGCCATCACAGCTCCAGCTGGCATCTGTCCAGCTGTCCCTGCTGACTGAAGGACTCCAGAAATGACTGGGATCCTTGGAGGGGATCCAGGTGGGCCCAGCTCACCTGACGTACTTCCCATACAGCAGGCAAAAGAAGCAGAGGGTCACCATATTCCAGCTGGTGCTGTTGTTGTAGCGCATCAGGTTCAGGGCCAATGCCACATGCGAGTGGCAGTTGTCGCAGCAGAGGTTGTGCTGGAGGCACAGAACAGGGCGAGTTAGGACAGGCTGGGGAAATCCCCCCAGTCCCTGCGGGCCCAGCCTGCCTACCATGCGGTGCTTGTACTCCTCAGAGGCGTCATGCACAGCTGTGTCCCACGCATTGGGCCCGCTGGCGTAAACCTGTGCAGGGTCCAACTTCCAGTACCTGAGGGGACAGGGGGTTCTAGGCACTAGCTCACCTCTCATGGCCTCCTGTGACAGCCCTAAGCTGGATGCTGAGGCTGAGGGGTAAGCCGGTTCCGGAAGAGTCACACAGCAGACAACTGTGACCCAGGGGGAGATGCCCAGGGCCATGGTGGATCTGGAAGGGCATGGACTAACTCAGGGGGTGTTACAGTCTGAGGGTGCATCTCTCCCCATTCACGTGCTGAACCCTAACCTGCAATGTGTAAGTGTTCGGAGGTGAGGCTTTGGGAAGTGACCAGGCGATGCGGGAGGGGCTCATGAAAGGGATCAGTGCCTGCATTAGAAGCAGCCAAGAGACTGCTCCCCTCCCCACCACCCAATGTGAGGACACAGTAAGGTGCTGCAGGCCTTCAACAGACACAGAATCTGCCAGCACCTTGAGCCTGGCTTTCCCAGTCTCCAGAGCTAGGAGAAAGCAATTTCTGTTGTTTATGAACCACCCACTCGATGGCGTTTTGTCACGGCAACCTGAATGGAAGAGGACAAGGGTATATGAGAAGGTTCTCCGGAGCTGACACCTGAGACCAATCTGAAGGAAGAGGGTTAGCAAGTCACAGAAAGTGGAGGTGGCCACTGTGGGCTGAGGAACAGCTAGAACAAAGTGAAAGGCACAACACTGTACAGTGTGACCCAGACGTAAGTGATTGATTCAGAAGGACAAACGGTGACACAATGCTGGCACGTGATGCAGGAGATACAGCGGGGGCCACATCATGCAGGGACCTGAAGGTCACTCATCAGCAAGTGTTCTCCCCAGGTCTCCACACCCGTTCTGCTGGGGTGAGGCAAGAGAAGCCCGTGAGTGTCAAGCTGGGAGCGAACAGCTGTTCCAAGCAAGGCGGGGCCCAAAGGGTCCAGGGCCAGGAGCACTGGGAGCCACAGTGCCCTCTGGCTCTGGTGTGGGGAAATACTTTCATGGAAGAGCCTAGAGGCAGTGAGAAACCATGGTGGCCTGAACCAGGGGTCTCTCCTAAGGGGCTGCTACCCAGGAAAGAATACCCTTAACAGTCTTTGAAATATTAAAAAAAGCTGGGCACAGTGGCGCATGCCTATAATTCCAGCAGCTGGGAGTATGGAGCATGAGGATCACTGTGAGGTTGGGGCCAGCCTGGGCCACATAGTGAGTTTCAGGTCCGTCTCAACTACATAGTGAGATCCTGTCTCAAAAAACAAAACAAAACAAAAAAAGAGAATCAATTCAAAAAGCAACAAAACTGTCTTTGAAAAACAGGGCCAGGGATTTAGCTCAGTGATTCGGTGGCCTGCCTTACAAGCCCAAGAACCCCCGGTACCAAAAAAAAAAAAAAAAAAATGTCTAGCAGCAAACGCCAAGCTCAGAGGCCCCTGGCCCGCATTTCTACCTGCATGAAAGAATCAAAGCAGGGTCAAGGAACTCTGCTCCAAGTGCCTCTGCTGTGGGACACCCACTCCTCCTCGACCCCAGCTGTCCTGGCAGCCTCGGGCCACAGGGCACCGATGGTTGCTTTGAGAATACTGATGACTGAGCCACTGGCACTTGGTGAGCACCCGAGACTAAGGAAATGAAGACCAAAGCTCCCAACTAAATCAGCCCCTCTCCCTAAAGGCCTGAACTGTTCTTATTCCCTCCAAGCACAACTTATCAGCCAAGTTTTCAATGGTGCCCCTATGACACCTTTATTCTCCGGTACTGGGGACTGAACCCAGGGCCTTTGCACTTAGCTACATCCCCAGTCCTTTTTTATTTTGAGATCGGGGTCTGGGGATGTAGCTCAGTGGTGCCATGCCTGACTGGCAAGCACAAGGTCCTGAGTTTGATTGCCAGTACAAAAAAAGAAAACAGAAAAAAGAAAAGAAAAATCTTCTAGCATTTTGAGATAGAGTTTTGATAAACTGTCCAGGCTGGGGTCAAACTTGTGTTCCTCCTGCCTCAGCCTCCCAGAGTTTTGGGATTATAGTGTGCCCCGCCACACTCAGCTCCCTTATACCTTAAATGGCCTGTTTGCTCCTGAGGGGTAGGAGTGAGTCCAGGTTGTAGAGGGGGACAGACCCGGCTATGAGCCCAGCTACTGTACTTCCTACCTGTGTGACCTTGACCATGTTCCTTCCATTCCCTCACCTTTGTCCTGGAGCAGAAAATACCTCATTAAGCTGAGGCAAGGCCTGTATAGTACACAGGCCAAGGCCATAGCAGGCGCTTGGAAAACACTGCTATGTCCTGGTGGGCGCTGGCTGTCCCTCCCCTCACACTCTGTCCCCAGGTGCTGGCTCCTACTGTGTCCTAGAGGGCTGTCCTGCTGCTCTGGTGAGAGGAAGCTGCCTTGGGTGTTACACGGGTGCCGACACTTACTTGGCAGGCTTTCCAAAGGCCATGTTGTCTTCCTGTTGAGAGACAAGAGCAGAGGTTAGTGGGGAGCTGACATCCGGGATGGATGACAAGCCTGGGTCAGTGGCTCAAGTGCAGTGACAGTGACATAGAAGGGGATGTGTCAGGTAAGCAGCAGTGGGGCACAGGCTGCTGGGGACTGGAATGCTACCTCAAGTGCCAACAGCAGCCATTCTGTGGGAAGGAGGCAGTGTGGCACACGGCGAACTCCCCTGCCCTCTCTAAGCTCCTGGTCGCTCTTCTCTGGCCGCTGGCAACAGGCAGGAGGTTGCCTTTGTGGTGTAAACACCACCACTCTGGCCTCCTGACCCAACAGCGATGGCCCACAGGGAGCCACCTCTTTGCCTGTAGTCTGATCCCATTCACACCAGGACAGGTTTGGGGATTAAACCCTGGGCTTTTGTGCTCAGCTACACCTCCAGCCCTTTTTTATTTTTTATTTTGAGACAGATCTTCTTAATTCACTAAGCCACACAGGCTGGGCTCAAACTTGCGATCCTCCTGCCTCAGCGTCCCAGAGTGCTGGCATTACAGGCATATGCCAGCATGTCCTACTAGTGAAATAATTTAAAAATGCGAAGTAATAGTCATTGTGTTAAGACAGTCATGACAACTGTTGACATAAAGAGGCTGGTGCCACCGGACCCCTTCCTCCAGCTCTGATTCTGCTAACAGGCAGATGTGCATGCTCATCCGGAGCTGCCCACCAGACCAGTCCTGCTACATCCCCAGGGAATGGACCTGAGAGTGCAGCTGGTTCATTCTAGAAGCCCCACCCCAGGAGCTGCATCAGCCTCCCCCTACCTTGGCTCCCACCTTCTGAAGGTCCAGAGATGTGGTTCCTGGATGATCTGACTCCACTCTTGCCTCTAATCCCTACCCATGTCTCGTACCCAGGGGTGGGGGCATAGGGCTGGTCAGTTACTTAAGAATCCTTCTGGCCACACTGCCCTCCTGGCCTGTCCTGGAGGCAAGAGAAGGGGGAAGGGGGTCAAACACTGGTGAGAGCACAGGGCTCAGGCCAGGGTTGCATGGCACCTGCATCTTCCTGGATTTGGGGAGACAGGAAGACTCCTGCAGGCAAGAAAGGCCAGCCTTGCAGTAAGCCTTGAACCTACAGGGCTGGACAGAAGGAGGACTCACCGAGACAAAATAGGGGCCTGCGAAGTCTCGAATGACTCCTGTGGATGTGCAGATGCCCATGTGGCCAATGATGGGGAAAAACCACCTGCAAAGAAGAAGTACCGGTAAGAGCTGGAACTTGGGGGTCTGCTGTCAGACAGACACTGGGGACACTTCCCTCAGAGTGAGGGCCCTGAGTGTAATGCTGACAAATGAGCACCCAGAGCAGGCTCCAGAGGGGCAGGAAGCACAGAGAGCTGGCTGAGAACCACCATGCAGTGGCATAGCCCTGTGCCCAGCGGGAAGGGCAACAGCAGACTGCAGGGAGGCTGAGGAGCACCTGCAATTCCCACTCACTGCTGGGAAGTAGAAATAGTTCCTACTGTTCTGGGAGTTTGGCACAGGACTCCAGGCCTCAGCAGTTCCACTTCCGGGTGGAAACCCAACAGAAACAAATACTTGTGCCCATGCAGCCACGTATAAGAACTGTGATAACACCTGTAAGTAAAACAGCCAGAACATTTGCCAAAACTAACTGAAGTCAGGACATAGGAGAAGTTCAGTGATAGAGAGCACTAGCCTAGCATGTGCAAGGACTGGCGTTCTACCCTAAGCACCATAAAAAAAAAGTGTAAGCCTTTTTAGCCAGGTGTGGTGGTACATGGCTGTTCAAGGCCAGCCTGGGCTACATAGTGAGACCCTGCTTCTAAAAACCAAAACAAAAAAATAATACAAGATTCATTAAAAACAAAAAAAACAAGATGTATAGAACTGTACAAAAAAAAAAAAAAAAAGAGTTCCTAAGTCTGAAGTGTGCCTCAATCATTAAGTCCACACAGGTAGGGCATTAAATGAGGATCATCATGAGTTCAAGGCCAGCCTGGGTACACAGTGAGTTCGAGGCAAGCCTGCACTGCAGAGTAAGATCCTGTCTCAAAACAATAACAAACAACAAAAGAACAAACTGCCCCACACAACAGACTCTCCTAGACTAAAGCTGAAAGAAACCTTATCCAAAAGTACTGTTTATATCAGGTATAAAAGAAGGCAAAGCTTACTTATGGCTGCAGGTCAGCAGAAGGATTGCCCCTGCAGGAAAGTTGGGTGGGAGGCACAAAGGCACCCTGGAAATGCACTGTGTGATGGTTATGTGATGTGAACATATGCAAAGACTCACTGATCTGTACATTTAATTAAGATTTGTGTATCTTCATGGCATGTAAGTACTACCCCAAGAAGAAAGCTGGGGCTTGGTGTGGTGGAGCAAGCCTATAATCCCAGCACTCAGGAGGCTGAGGCAGGAGGATCACTGAGTTCAAGGCCAATCTGAATTACACACTGAGAAAGCTAGGGGGCAGACATGAAGGAACATAGCAAAGGGCAGAGATGAGGATAAAACATGATGCCTTTCAGAAAATAAAATTTCAATTTTTTTTTTTTTTTTTTGTGGTCCGGTATCAAACTCAGGACCTTGTGCTTGCCATGTTGGTGCAGTGCCACTGAGCTAAGTCCTCTGCCCCCTAAACTTTCAATTTCTAAAAGCCATGGGCATTTAAAATTTTTATTGCAGACCTGGTGGCACACCTGCAAACCCAGCACTTGGGAGGCTGGGGAACAATTGCTGTAAGTTCGAGGCCAGCCTGGGCTACATAGCAAGACTGTATCAAGACATCAAAAAAGGCCAGGTGTTTAGCTCAGTGGCACTGTGCCTGCTTTGTAAGCACAAGGTCCTGAGTTTGATCCCCGGTACCAAAACAAAACACACACACACACACACACAAGCCATGGGCATTTAAAATTTTTTTAGTCCTTTTTTTGCTTGGTTTGGATATTGGTGATTGAACCCAGGGCCTTCACACTGAGCTACATACCCAGCCTTTTCTTTTCTTTTCTTTTTGATACCAGGGATTAAACTTGGGTTTTTGCGCTTGTGGGACAGGTGGCAGCACTACTGAGCTAAATTCCCAGTCCTACCCAGCCTTTTTAAAAACAGTATCTTTTTTATTTTGTTTTTTGAGAACTTACAGGTAATCCTCCTGCCTCAGCCTACTGAGTACTGGGATTACACCTCTGAGTCACCATGCCTGGCTTTTTTTTTTTTTTTTTTTAAAAAGGGATCAAACTTGGGTCCTTGCACTTACAAAGCAGGTGCTGGAACCGCTGAGCTAAATCCCTGGTTCCCTGCCTGGCTTTTTTATTTATTTATTTTTTTTTGAGACAGGGTCTTGCTATGTAGCCCAGGCTGGCCTCGAATTCACAGGTGATCATTCTGCCTCTGCCTCCCAAGTGTTGGGGTTATTAGGCTTACAAGCCTCTGCTACCAAGCCTGGCTAATAACAGTTATTTGTAGTGCCAAGGACTGAACTGAGGGCCTTATGCTTGTTAGGCAAGTGCTTTATCACTGAGCTACATTCTAGCCCCTTTTTATTTTTTCAGCCAGGGTCTTAATGTATTACCCAACCTGGCCTTGAGGTTCTGAGCTCAAGTGATTCTCCTGCCTCAGCCTCCTGAGTATCTGGGATTACAGGTATGTATCACCATGCCCTATGAGATTTGATTTTGAAAAACTGCCTGTGGTAGCCAGGCACGGTGGTGTACACCTGCAGTCCCAGCAACTCCAAAGCAGGAAAGCATGGTACGCGTGTGAAGAATGAGAGGGCAGATGTGAGGAGGAAGGGCCAGGTCAGAGGCTACTAGACAGCCACACACAGCCCCGGGCATCCCAGATCTGCTACTCTGATTTACTTTCTTTTCTTTATATGAGTGTGTGCAAATATATACGTGTGTGTGTGTGTATTTTTTTTTTTTTTAAAGGGAGGAGGTCTTACTATGTAGTTCAGGCTGGCTTTGAACTCACCATGTAGCCCCAGCTGGCTTCGAACTCGCAGCAATCCTCCTGCCTCAGCATCTCAAGTGCTGGGATTACAGGTGTGCGTGCCTGGCTCTGCTTTAATTTCTTCACAGTATCCATGTATTTATTATCTGATGTTTTTGGGGGGGTACTGGGGATTGAACCAGGGACCCTGCCTGCACTTGTAAGGCAGGCAATGGAACCACTGAGCTAAATCCCCGGCCCTACCTGAAATTATTTGATGACTGTCTTTTCCCACAAAACTTAAGTTCCATGAGAACAAGTCTTATTTACTGTAGTAGCCTCTAGGGCAATGCCTGGTGTACAACTACAATCAAACGTTTGTTAACTAAATAAACAAATGCCCTGTATTTAAGAATGGAGGGAGTGTATAATAGGAGGAATAACTTCTAATGTTCTGTACACAGTACTGTAACTGCAGTAGACAAACAGTTGTGTGTTTTTAAGTTTTGTTTTGTTTTTGGTACCAGGATCTAACTCAGGACATTGTACTTGCAAAGCAGGTGGCGGAACGGAACCACTGAGGTAAATCCCCAGCCCCAACAGTTGTGCATGGTTTTTTTTTTTTTTGGTTTTTTGAGGCAGGGTCTCACTATGTAGTTGAGACTGACATGGAACTCACTATGCAGCCCAGGCTGGTCTCTAACTCACAGCAATCCTCCTGCCTCAGCCTCCTGAGTGCTGGGACTACAGGCATGCGCCACCACGTCCAGCTCAAGTTGTGTTTTTAAATAGCTAGACAAAGAAATGGTCTCAGGTAATGGATATGCCAATCCCCCCATTTGATCTCATATATATATTAGTATATACAATGTGTGTGTGTTCCCAGGGCCTTCACACTGAGCCACATTCCTAGCCCTTTTCTTTTTTACAAAAATTGTTTGAGATGGGGTCTCTCTCAGTCTCTAGTTGCCCAGGCTGAGTCTGAACTTGAGATTCTCCTGTCTCAGCTACCCAGAATGCTAGGATGATAGGCATTCACTACCACACCCAGCTATGATCACTGTACCCCATACATCTATACAATTTTTTTTCTTTTTTGGTACCAGGGATCAAACTCAGGACCTTGTGCTTGCAAGGCAGGTGGCGGAACCACTGAGCTGAATTCCCTGCTCATCTATACAATTACTATATGCCAATCAGAAAAAAAAAGAGGGGGGTTTGGTTCTGGTGTTGGATCTAGGTTTAGCCTCAGGCAAGTTACTCATTCCTGTCTATGAATAGTAATAAGTACCTTGATTGGTGGTTAGTACAAGGATTAAATAGGATCCGCTTGCAAAATGCTTAGAGTATTGCCTTATATTTGGTAGTTTCTCAATGTTATTATTTTTAAGTATTCAAGAAATACTCGCAGTCGAGCATGATAGTGCATGCCTGTAATCCCAGCACTCGGGAGGCTGAGGCAGGAGGATCACTGTGAGTTTGAGACCAGCGTGGGCTACATAGTTCCAGGTCAGTCTCAACTACATAGTGAGACCCTGTCTCAAAAAACAAAACAAAAAAAAGGAGAAATACTCGCTATCTGGCTGACTGAAATGACAAAGAGTAAGTTGCTGAGGATCCCTCCCTAGGATGGACACTCAGAATTATGGGCAAGTAGCTCACCTGAGACCCTAAGCTCAGGATTTCCCCTGGCCTCGACTCCTTTCATTTGACTGGTGGAAAGTCTGGCTTTGATGAGTGCTCCACACACCACAGCTCTGTTGGCGGATACTGATGGAACTGAGACAAGTCTAAATTGCAGGAGAAAACAGCAGAGCTTGTGGCTGGTGGAAGCCCCAAAGAACCCCTCAAAGTAGACTGTCACTCTGGAAGCTCCAGGAAGACAAGTGGCACCACCGAGCTAAAGCCCTGGTCTTCAAGAGCTGCTTTGTGCATAGCTGTCTATTCATACCAGGACCACTACTGAGAGGTCCTTGGAGTGAATCCTGCAGCTCTATTTGGGAAGGTAGACTATCTCAGTGGGAAAAGCCCCATGCTACTTTCTGGGCCTTTATTTCCTGTTCCTTGGTAAGAAGAATATCTATTTTCATAGGTTGATGTAAGCACTGAATGACAGAGAACATGAAATATTTAGAACAGACCCCAGAATACAGGAAGTACCCAATCTTAGTTGTTTTATTGGTAGCAGCAGCTATTACTTGGTTTTTCATGCAGAATTATTAACACCCCTAAGTGGGCAGACAGACCTTTGGATTCAGTTTCCTCCTCTGATGTTTCCTCCAAAGACAGATGCAGTTACTTGTGGCACATCTGTTCCTCACTCTCTCCTATTTCAGTAACACTGAAATGTCTTACAAAGGTTAGTCAGTCTGCGTGTCTCCCTCCTCCTTCTTCGGGAGGGCAAATCCTCCAAAGGAGCATGAGCTTCTTATTCACCTTGGTCTTACAGATACTTCTGCACACAGATCTGGGGAGGAATGGGATGTGAGCGGCTTCTAGTCCAGATGACTGGGGATCATGGTGCCTCAGCCTCACGCCACTACCATTTCTCTGCAGCAGACTGTGCCACACATGGGGTTTTTGAAAATGAGGAAAAGCTATACCCTAAGGTCTTAGGATAATGGGATAGGTTTTGGCAAATCATACATTCCCTAAGTATCCCTCCCATTACTTATACATTAACATTTGATTTTCTCCACAGCACTAACCACTAACAAGTTTTTTTTGTTAGTTTTCTTTTTACACTTTCCACCATGACTTAAACTGGGTAAGAGTCCAGCATAGTGGCATGTACCTGTAATTCCAGCTACTTGGGAGGCTGAGGGAGGAGGATCACAGTTCAAGCCCAGCCTGGGCAATCCTGCCCCAAAACAAAACAAAAAGGTAGGTAAGGATATACCTCAGCATTCCCTGGTTCAATTCCCAGTATTGCAACAAACAAAATTCTATGAGAGCAAATACTACATCTTTTTTATTCACCATTGTACATTCTTTTTTGTTTGTTTGTTTGTTTGGTACCGGATATTGAACTCAAGACCTTGCACTTGCAAGGCAGGTGGCAAAACCACTGAGCTAAATCCCTACCATTGTACATTCTTACCACCTACAATGATCTGGGCACATATAATTAGCACTGTGTTAAAAAAACAACATTAAGCCAAGCTGGGTGGCCCATACCTATAATCGCAGCACTCTGGAGGCTGAGGCAGGAGGATTGCTGCGAGTTTGAGGCCAGCTTGGCTTACATAGTGAGTTCAAAGCCAGTATGAATCACATATCGAGACCCTGTCTCAAAAAGACAAACAAAAAAGAGTATTGATGAATTGATGAACATGTTCTTATTTTATTTTTAAAACCTCAGATTTCAGGCCTGGGATTTAGCTTAGTGGCACCATGCCTGCCTTGCAAGTACAAGGTTCTGAGTTTGATCTCCAGTACCAAAAATAAATAAATAAAATTTTAAAAAATAAAAATTCAGATTTTGATGCTCTTAAACGCATAAGCATTTGAAACAATTCAAGTATTTTAAACAAATACAAAAATTAAAGCCATTTTAGGATCACCAGCATATGTATACATGTAAAGACACATCATTACTTAGCCTTTTCTTTTTCTATTTTTGGTACCAGGGAGCCTTTTCTTTTTCTTTTCTTTTGTCAGTACTTGGGGTTGAATTCAGGGAAGACTGAGCTGTACTCTCAGCCTTTTTTTACTCTCAGAAAGCGTTCTGTCAAATTGCTCAGGTTGGCCTTGAAGTTGAGATTCCCCTAACTCAGCCTCCCAAGTAGCTAGGATTACAGGCAAGCACCACTATGCATCTACTTGGCTGTTTTTGATAAAGGAAACAAAACTATTCCATTCAGTCAGAGGGGACAGGATGTAGTTTAAGTGAGGTACAGTGGTACATATGTAATTCCAACACTTGGGAGGCCGAGGCAGGACAATCTTCACAAGTCCAAGGCCAGTTTGGGCTAGACAGTGAAACTTTGTCTCAAAAAGAAAAAAAATATGGAAAACAGTAAGTTAATAAAAAAAGAAAGAAAGAAAGGCAGTAAGTTAGATAGTAGACAGAAGACTTGAGTTTTAAATGTCTCTGCTTTTGGGGGCAGGACCTTGACCAAGACAGTTCTATATGAAGCTCAGCTTCACCATGGGACAAAATAATTCCTACATTAAAAGTGGTGGTGGCTGGGTGTGGTGGCGCATGCCTGTAATCTCAGCACTCGGGAGGCTGAGGCAGGAGGATCGCTGTGAGTTCGAGACCAGCCTGGGCTACATAGTGAGTTCCAGGTTAGTCTCAACTATACAGTGAGACCCTGTCTCAAAACACCAAAAAAAAAGGAAAAAAAAAAAGTGGTGGTGAGAACCGGGGATTTAGCTCAGTGGTGCCACAGCCTGCCGCGCAAGCGCAAGGACTCGAGTTTGATCCCGGTACCAAAAGTGGTGGTGAAATTCATTGTAATCGGGAGTGAGAGATCAGCAAACTGTCCCACACTTGGAGGAGCAGTTAGTGTTACCAGTTACCAAGGCGGAAACCCGCTTCTCTAGAGAACCCTGGTCCACGAGGCAGACGCCCTGGGACCTGCACCTGCATTCCTAGACTCCTGGTGGCCCTTTCATTGTTGATATCCCAGGATGCGGTGGCTTCAACCAAACTCCCACTCTTGCTCCCAGACGCAGCGAGATGTCTTGCGTGATCTGGTCCAGAGTGAATAAACCGGTGAGGGAATGATGCAGTCTCAAGAGCAGGTGAGGGCCGGCCCCCTGTGCATGCCTGCAGCGCTCGAGCTCTCTAGCCCCTAGCCTTTCCGCCTCCCAGTACTTGTCTTTCTCTCGGACTAGACCAGGTGTCACGAGGGCAGGTGTCCACCTGCGGTGGGAACAGGCACCTTGCGGGAAGCGCCCCGGAAAAGGGCTGGCTGCGTGCAAGGGACCAGAGGCTGGCCCGCGCTCTCCGGAGGACGCCGCGAAGGCCCTGGCCCTTCCCGTTCCCGCGCGACGGTCACCAGAGGAAACTCACGTAAGCACCGGGATGGGAGTCCACACTACGCAGTAAGGGAAGCGGCTCCGCTCCATGTCCATGGTGACGGAGCCAGAGCCGTGGTACTGCTTCATGTCCGTCTCGGCCGCCGTCGGCGCCTCCACTTCCGCCATTCTGGAAG